CTTCTTGTTCTTATTGTTGTTGTTGTGGTTGTTGTTGTTGTTGTTGTTGTGGTTGTTGTTGGTTGTTGTTTGTTGTTTGTTGTTTGTTGTTTGTTGTTTGTTGTTTGTTGTTTGTTGTTTGTTGTTTGTTGTTGCTGTTGTTGTTTGTTGTTGCTGTTGTTGTTGTCGTTGTTGTTGTTGTTGTTGTTGTTGTTGTTGTTGTTGGTGTTGGTGTTGGTGTTGTTGTTGTTGGTGGTGATGGTGGTGGTGGTGGTGGTGGTGGTGGTGGTGGTGGTGGTGGTGGTTGTGGTGGTGGTGGTGGTGGTGGTGGTTGCGGTGTTGTTGTTGTTGTTGTTGTTGTTGTTGTTGTTGTCGTTGTTGTTGTTGTAGTTGTTGTTGTTGTTGTTGTTGTTGGTGGTGGTGGTGGTGGTGGTGGTGGTGGTGTTGTTGTTGTTGGTGGTGGTGGTGGTGGTGTTGTTTGTGCTGTTGTTTGTGTTGATGTTTGTGTTGTTGTGTGTGTTGTTGGTTGTGTTGTTGTTGTTGTGGTTGTTGTCGTTATTGTTGTTGTTGTGGTTGTTGTTGCTGCTACGGTTGCTGTTGATGTTTTCGTGGTCGTTGTCGCCGTCGTCGTTGGCATGTTATTGTTGTTCGTTTAACGAGGGCGCTATACTCCGCCCACAGACTGGCCCGAGTCGCATCCAGGCTTCGAGTGATCGCCAGCCAAGTCGAGACGCAATCCACAGTGGGTTGGATGATCGGCCGTCTCCTAGGTGGGCGACGGGTTAGGGGTTTCCGGGATCCTAGGGTTTAGGAGCCCAAACCCAAGACATCCAGACATCTGTGCTTCTTCGTCTGACAGGCAAGGTGTCGAGCGCGGAAGATTTCAATCCAGAGTGGGCCGATGACTTCACGATGGGTGGCTCAGCTCTTGGGTCGTGGGTAGGGACGTGACTCTACAGTTCAGGTTGCAGGTTGCAGGGCATGCAGCCAGAATTACGGGAGTCATATTCCTCTACAGTTCCCTGTTTCTCCTGTAATGTCTACACCTGATGATACTTTCTACCCTAAACTGCTTCGCCTCCAGTTGGCCAGTGCAGGATCAGTGCACGCACGTCGGGGGAGGTACGAAAAGCTTCATCTCAGTTAGCTTCGTAGTCAGAAGTGGTGCCCGAAATCCTAGAACCCCGAGTCGTGGAGCGTTCCGCATGGAGTGTGCGCTCAGAGAGTCTGAACATCCCCTTACAAGAAACCCGGGAACCTTGACCTCAAGGTCCCCAAGAGCCCTAGAAGCCCTGAAGCCCTCGCCCCAAAAGCGCTCGGAACTTCAACAACTTTGGGTATCGAGGTTTGGGTTTAGGGATAGATGACTCCGACTCCCTGCGATGCTAGACCCAAAGAATTTCAATGCTAACCCATAACCACTAACCCATAACCACTGAGTCTTAAACTCGCACTGAGCAAGCAGAACGTAAGCCTTGTCTAGCCTCCGGAGCTCGAGACCAAGGCGAAACATTCACTCGACGAGGGTAGTGTGTCCGACACGGGAGCTTCCTCGTTGTGTTACGATGACCTACTTGTATTTGATGTGCCTTCTTCGCGCATCTTTGTAGATGACTGCGCTTGAAAGACTCCCTAGGACAAACCTCAGCCGAGGAAACCGCAGAACGAGCACAACAGTTTGCGATGTCATTTCCTGAAGCCTGCACCTTTCAAGTGTCGCAAGAACTGTGGATCAGCTCTTTGCCCAACCTTCACCCCCAGAGAATGATAACCTCAATAGTTTATTATAGCATAACCAATTCGTCAACGTTTGTCCGTGTGTAGAGTTAATACAATTTCCGGTCCCCTAGACTAGACTCAGCTCCAGGCATTGCCCGAACCCGTGCCACGACATCATGCTTCTGAGGTCTCTATGCTGGCATCAATCTGATAGCAATGCCCATGTACTCCTCACGCCATGCCGACTCCGTCTTCGTTCCAAAGCGTTCATCGGCAAGATTTCGAGCTTCGAGTCGTTTCTGTCTTGATGGCATCTTGAATTGAGACGCCTGCATTTAGTAATGCTTACTAGTTCTTAGGTTCCGTACTACAGTTATGGTCATGGTATAATGTACCCCACGCTCCTATTCTGATTGTTGTGGCCCTTGGCTTACAACCATGGCATTCTTGGTCAGGGTCCTATGGATCTGTCTTATAGTCCACCCTTTAGCTGTTGTTACCGAATGCACAAGCACCATGCCTAGTCCCTAGACCCTTAACCCTAGACTCTAGGTCTTAGTCTTAATTCGTTATATACACCCATGCAAAGCCTTTCATTCTCCACGAAGCCTTAACCCCAGACCCTGGCGGAAGGTCTTAGCTAAACCCTAAACCCTCAACACTAGACACAACAACGGAAGCGTCGGTGAAAATGAACTCCCGACGCTATGCTCCGATAGTGTTCATGGTCGCTTAGGTTTCACGAAAGGGTTTGGGGTTTGAGGGTTTTGGCCTAAGGTCCTGAGAGTTTAAGGGCTTCAGGGTTTAGGCCCCTTCTTGAGCCTGCGGTCCAGGAATCAAAGGGTCACCGGGTCACCCGAAAGCCCTTACTGCAAACCAGTTTACGGCTCATGTCCAGAATCTGCTGAAGTTGTTGCCAAGGACCCGAACTTGCGCATGACACTTTGGTGGTTTGAATACGTAGGCGCGTTCCAAAGCAGGTGTCTGGGGCCGACCAAAAGCACTGAACAGAACGCCCCGGTGCTTGGGGTGTTTGTGTCACAACGCTTTAGAAGGCTCATCATGCTCGTGTCGGAATGCTTAATGACTGCGCCCCACCTACAGATTCTGTTATGACAAGCAGTAGAATTTGCCCCAAATACAGAAAACTTGTACAAACACCCTTTCGAACTAGGGAGAATAGATGGCCCCTTCCTTCAAGGATCCCAAGCTAGACCCCTGAAGCCCAAATCCCACCCCAAACCCCAAAGGAAACGGCCGAAGTCTAAGGTCAAGGCTACTCGGAGGTCTTTCGGGTTGGAAATGTCATCTCCCCGGACGTGGACATCGACAACCCGCACTTCGTGCCTGTCGAATGGCGCCTGCTTTTGCACAGTAAGCGGTTTATCCAATTATCCAGTGAAGGTGGCTGATTATAGTCAGTTGCAGCCTGTGTGGCATTATTACCGTAATGAGGCTAGCGCCACATTCTACAAATTTGCTGCTGTGTTATTCGGGCTTGCAGATGGGTAGTTCTCTAATTGGGGTCCTCTAACCCACTATATCTGCAGACTTGATTACTCTCCCCGGGAGTGTACTCCACAACCGACAGACACAGACACTACAAGCACACACCTCCATGCAAACACATACCTACCTACGGCCTGCCTGCCTGCCCGACTGCCTGCCTGCTACCCACTTACCTACCCAAATACCTATATACATTCATGCCTACATACATATATGCACACCGGCAGACCGGCATACAAGAATACATCTATGCATGCAAAGATACACTGCATAACTTGGGTTCCGTTTCGTGACAAGGCATGACTTGCCACGCCATGTCCTGCCGTGGTGTGGCGTTGGCATGGCATGCCATGGCATGACATGGCATACGCAGCTTTATAGCATGACAGACAGCACCTTTTGCGCTGCATCCTCAAGCCATATCGTTGTGGCTCCGTCATGATGTTACACCATTGAACGCGTGGGTCGGTGCCACTATCTCTGCAGAAATGCACCTCAACATTGGTCAACACTGCCCAAACCTGAAGTCTCGCCCCACCTGGAACGAAGCCTTACAGAACCCAACCCTGAATCCTAAACCCTAAACCCTAAACCCTTGTAAGGTATATTCCACAGCCTTTGCTGGACTTTGGGATGCTTCCTGGAATGACATGCTTCCACGGCTCCTCAGCTCTCTTCTGCCCATATACAACCAGGACTTACAGCCGTTCTTTGTACATTTGTAGTATCTCATACGATCACGGTTTAGGGTTTAGGGTTTAGGGTTTAGGGCTACAACAATGTCTTATTGGTGCGGCTCTGTATTGCTGTTGCTCCTGGTCAGTGGACCCATGATCCAAGGCTTCTTGCGCCAGCTGCCCTGGGATGACATGCCACCCTCCTTCCCAAATTACGGCCGAGGGCTTCAGCGGAAAGTTTGAACTTCTGTTGTTATAGGATGTGTGAGTTGCCGTCTTGATTGCAATCAAGCTTGTTTTTGTGTATTCGGATTTCGGATTGCAGTTGTGGGTGCAATATCAGAGAGCTTTAGGGTTTGGGATGCAACGACTTACATATTTCGAATTTGGACTTATGCTTATTGTCTGTCTGGGATTGAGCATTCACAGTAGCAATCAAGGGGTCAAAGGGGATCCCTACACTCTAAACCTTGAACCCTGAACCCTCAACCCTAAGCCGCGATGAGGCATCCCAATGGCAACAAGGGCACCGAGTAGTTATAGTACCGTAGCACTATTCCTTATGCAGGGAACCCACTAGAATGTGCAGCAAGACCTTGAAAGGATTATGCCAACAAAGGCCACTGAGGTCCCAATATTACCCAAGAGCATGACCTGCAATTGGAATACCCTCACCAGGGATCCCATTATGTCAAAAGAGTCTGTGCTTGGAATGACGCAGTGTCTATGCACAGGCATACGCTCAGGCCGTAGGAGCCGTAGATCCGCAATACTCGAATGCATGATCGATATTATGCCGGTGCGGCTCTTTTTAGAGATTTGCACCGTTGTTTGTTTTGGGGGGATTTCGGTATACCCTAAGCCCTAAGCCCCTCCGGCCCGAAGATGGGCTGCTGGCATCCTTGCAGCCTCATGGTTTGAGGGCTCAGGGCTTATAGGCTTTAGGGTTGAAAGCATTCTGAAGTATCGGTAGAGGCGATTCCGAATTCTTGTATTGAGTCCTCGGCATTTGCCTGCCTGCAATAACTCGTAACGGAATCATGTGTGGCACATGTCCTTCAGCTCATCGGATGCTACTTCAACCTTGAATGATCGATATTCTATTCAAACCCCAAACCCTAAACCCTAAACCGAAACACACCCCTCCTTCTGCAGTTATGTCTCAAGTGCACAGCAGCTTGACGGAGTACAAGGATTTCCTAATCTTCGATAGGGCCCTTTAATGATTTCAGTACGGGTTTTTCGGCCAATTGTACTACGATTGCAATAGGCAGCCCTACGGACTAGTGTTTCCAATTATTCAGGCTTCTACATTTACCATATCTCAACTGATGTAGTTTCTTAAAGGCCTGTAAACCCGAAGCCCTAATTATGTGTCAAGGAATCACCATGCAAGCCAGACAAAGGCTCGACGGCAACGAGACGGGTGATCGCAATAGTTGGGATGTCGCCTCCCGTCTGGATACAACTGGGGCCTTAATTAGTATGGGTAGTTCTCTAAACGAGGGTCCCGTTTAGGGTCCTTTCTATAAGAGTGCCGTACTGTATTCGGGACCAGCAAGGGACTCAATTTAGAGAACGACCCATATGTGGAGTAGATGCGGGGGTTCCTTTAAGGGTTTTTTTGAAGAAGGGTTTCAGGATCTAACGCCCTAGAGAATTAGAACAGGGTTGGGCTGGGTGTGTGGCACACTATCGGTTTCCAATCCAGAACCTATATTCTAATCGTTGAAAGGCGCCTACATTACTCTGTTCAGCTTCATGTCGCCTGAGGGGTGGCATGCTTTCGGCTTTTCCGCACTGCAAGGGCACCCTTGTCTTTGTCCCGTATGAATCTCCAGTCTCAGCGACTTCAAGTTGACCGATTGACACGATCTCGTCATGCTCACAAGCAGTCACTATCTGAAGCTGACAAAATGCAACACTGGGATGAATTAACCTCGTCATGCTCCCTTCATCCAGGTCATGAAGCTCAGCAAGTTCAAGCATGCACGGAAATCAGATTGGGTTATGAGCTTCTACGAGGGCTACAAGACCTTCGACGGCAAGGCGAGCAAGGGGCCGGCTGTAAACCCTTAATTTCGATGCTTAAACCCTGAACCTTGCAACTTCTAACCCTGAACCGTACACCTTGAACCCTGAACCTTGAAGCCTGAACCTTGAAACCTAACCCCCGAACCCTAGAACCCGGGCAGCTTATCAGAGTTTCCATTTTGTGTTCGGAGCAGGCTAACTGGCCAGAGATAGAGGTGAACTTCGCCCAGATGAATCCTGGCGAAGCTGGTTAACTTCAGGGTTTCGGGTTTTGGGGTTTATGTAATTCTACGGTCTAGGCATTCAATGAAGAGCACAAAAGGTTTAGGGGCAGAGGGGTGTGGGTTTAGGGGTTGAGAGTGTTGGGGGCCCCAAATGCTGGTCTATGTTGTTTGTTCATGTTTCTTTTGGCTTTGGTTTCAGAGGGTTGGCAGTCTGGAATCGCAGTTGAGGGCACTGTCACGAAAAAGCGAGTAATTAGAGCACACGTTGTCCCTAAACAAGCAAGGTACTGGAAGAATGACGAGCGGCTTGGCCGAAAGACGGCACAGTTCAGGTTCCGTGGATGTACTGTACATAGACACACACACACACACACACGCATGTATAGGCGGAGCAATGCATATACACATAGACGTACGTTTCTCCGTGTATTTCCTACATACATGCACCCACGCATATGCGCGCGGGCAGGCAGGCAGGCAGGCAGGCAGGCAGGCAGGCAGGCAGGCAGGCAGGCAGGCAGGCAGGCAGGCAGGCAGGCAGGCAGGCAGGCAGGAGGCTTGCTCGCTCGCTCGCT